ACACAACGCACACAGTACACACGGCACAGACTAGGACATCAACACACATGCATCTACAAGCACACACCCACACTGATACACACACACACACACACACACTAATGGCTTCAACACGCGCGCACACACACACACTGTTGGCTTTAACAGTGTCACATAGCCACGGCGGCGTTCCGGCCACCATCTCCGTCACCAAACACCCCAAAGCCCATACGTCCGCAGCCGCCTCCTGCTGTCCGGCCACCACTGTCTCCGGCGGCATATACATCGGCGTACCTCTCAACTCAAAACCCACGATCTTCTCTCCCGATTTCTTTTCCAAACCAAAATCGGCGATCTTCGCGACATCGTTTTGACATAGAAGAACGTTTTGAAGCTTGAGATCACAGTGAACAAACCCATTCTCGTGAATACATTGAAGGCTCTGACTCTTGGATATTCCTAAATTCACTGTTCCGAAGCTTCCATGGCCGAGTAAATCGCCTCGAACCCACTCCATGGGAGCGAAAATCAGATTGAATTCTGGGTTTTGCCTTGCCTTGCCTTGCCTTGCTTGTGGTCTCACTCTGTCACAACTAACTCTGTTTTGGGGATTGGTATATATATATATATATATATAAGATCTTGATATTGGTGGCGAAAAACATAACAAATATGGGTAAAATCGTCCACACAGTTACACTAAATATGGAAAATAGGATCAGCAAAAAACAAACTTCCCCACTGATAGGACTTATCCGAACAAAAGAATAAAGTTGGGACTAATTGGTTTAATAGTTTGTGAAATGGGATTTATTGGTAAATTTTCCTTAAAGGTATTAAAAAAAAAAAATTGAAGGTATATTTAGCTTTTGTTGTGAACCTTAAAAAAAAATAAAAAATAAAATAAAAAGTGGTTGTTAACATTAAATATAAAAAATAAAAATAAAATAAAAATAGGGATTAAAGTGGGTTGGGAAAAATCCAAACCCATTAAAAAATGGGGAGAGTAGTACCAATGGGGAATGAGGAATGGAGAATGAGAAAAATTTATTATAGAGAAATAGAGATGGAAAATTAATATCCACCTCCATTAACCCCATTGCCATCTCTATTGTCGACAAGCAATTGCAAAAGGAGGGTCATCTGAATCAAACCCGGATGCTTTGCCTCCGTTTGGGAAGTGGGTTGGCTTTTTGGCTTTTTGACTTTTTTGGCTATTTTAGCCTGGGCTAAAAAGTTTGGTTTGGGAAAGGCTTTTTGGCTTTTTGGTTTTTTTGACTTTTTTTGTGAGAGAAGAATGTAATGATTATGGGTTGGATGTGATATTTTATTTTTTGTAACTAAAATAGCCTATTTTGTTTTTTGTGGCTAAAATAGCCAAAAAAGCCCCGTTTAGCTCTTGCCAAACGGAGCCTTTGTCAATGATATTTCCAAATGAGCAGTCCATAAACTTGTTGTACTATGTTAAAAAATAAAAATTTAACAATGTTTCATCCCTTCTCCAGTCTCTATTCAAATTTAAATAGATGTTTTTATTTGATTAGATGCACTCTAATAGTAATTTTTTTGTAGATTTATATTTATATATTTTATAAAAATATACATATTTCTGAAATCTCAATTTAGTAGATAAGCAAAAATTTAAATTAAGCAAATATTCTATTGGAATATTTGAGTCAAGATTAAATTATTTGATCTCAACTTATGATGAATTGATTATAATTTATTTAAGATTAGTCAAAATCTAAATAAATCAAATTTAAATACTTTTTAAACTCAATAAAATTTTAAATTATTTAAACAAATTACTACTCAATTTAATAAAACTCATTTACAGTCGTATGCATACTGCGAATTTGTATCCCATATATGATTGCTTTGGGGAGCATTGCACTTAATGGCATTGGTAATTTCATATCAATAATGATTTATATCATTAAAAAAAAGATCATTAATAATACTAATACATTAAGAATGCCTAAATAAAAAAAAAAAAATAAGGCACAGGCAGTGAATGTCCACTGCCACATTATTAGTGATGCTATTAAAACATCACTTTTAATACTCACAACCATTTTTCAATTTCATGTATTGGTTTATATGTTGGTCCATGCGCGTGTCTAATTTTGACGTCAAATTAATCTAAAACAGTTTCAGCCCAAAAAACTAACTCTGACTGGTTTAGCCTTGGTTTGGCATGCCAGATTTTATAAATTTTTGACTAATTTAGTTATAAAAAGATAAAATAAGTTTTTTAACTTAATAAGACAAAATATCACATTTAATATATAACCATTTCATTTTCTCACTCACAAAAGTCAAAAAAATCAAAAAGTCTATTCCAAACGAGGCTATTTAGCCCCAGCTAAAATAGCTAAAAAACCAACTCACATCCCAAACGAACCCTTTTTAAAGTTATAAATTGGGTGTGAAATTATATTTTGAGTTTTAAGTTATATTTTAAATTTTAAAAAGAGAATATCACGAGTGTTGAAAAATGTTTGTAAAAGAGTTTTTGAGATTTGAAAAAAGTTTTGAATTGAGTTTTGAGTTGTGTGTTTGGTTATGAATTTTAAAAATAATTTTTAAATTGAATTTGATATCTTTTCAAATTGGGTATTTGGTTATAAATTTTGGAAACAATTTTAATTTTTTTTAATTAGATTCACAATTCCAAAACAAAATTAAGGGATTGTTTGGGATAATCTAAATAAGTGTATTTTTTGACTTTTTATGAAATATGAGTTGGGTTTGGGTTGTGTTTAAAGTGATGTGTTAGAAAGGTAATGTGACTTAAATAAGATGATATAACTTAAATAAGATAGTAATTTTTTGACTTTTTATATTTTTTCAAGCATGCCAAACTTGATCTAAATGGAGGCTACATGACAGTGATGTTAAAAAAAAAAAAAAAAGGATTAACAAAAATATTTGAAACATTAATTATTAATATTTATAATATTTTTCAATTTTTTATAAATATCTTTTGACTCACACATATCAATGCCTTTGTTTGGTAACTTAGGTTAGATTGAGTTTGAGGATATTTTACTCAAAAAAAAATAAAATAAGTTTTTTCGTGGGGGAAGTGAAGCGTTGGAGCAGAAATGAAACGATAGGTCACGAGGGGGGTTTTGAAAAGGCGGTTTTGGCGGTTGATTTGAAAGGTTTTGAAACGGGTGAAAATTAATGTGGATCCATGGAATACGGGTAAACCGTGGGTTTTTGGTATAATGCGTTTCACCTACCTTTTTACAAAAACTCAAATACCCAAGTGTTAATTCCTTCATTGCGTACGACACACTTGTGAAACATTTTCTCAACTTCCTTGCTCCTGCGTTAGAAGTGATTCGTAAGCAAACCCTAGAAATGGCATAAGAAGAAGTGGTCGATGTGAGGGTGGACCCTCTAGGAGACGATGATGCAGAGGAGTTAGCAGCGCGATACAGGACGGAGACACGAATAGTGGGGGTGGGGGAACCGGTGGAAAAATCGCAAGCGTCGGCCCTGATATTGGCCCCAAGGCCAATAAGCCAGGTAGAGCCGGATCAGTGGCACACTAAGGCTGACAAATCCACAATTACTGCGGCGGATTTGGAGGCTATCAGGAGAAGATACCAGATTCCGGCGGAGGTGGAGTTATTGCTGCCAACATCAAGGGAAAGGCCGTCTGATGCTAGGCCAGGGGAGTTTTCCCTTCACGAGGAGGCCCTAAAAGGTGGGCTGAGGTTGCCACTGCCCCAAGTGGTGGTTGACGTACTGAATCATCTAGAGGTAGCGCCGAGGCAATTGATGCCTAATGCATGGAAGATTCTGCTGGCCTGTGCGAGCGCGTGGCCCAAGGCGAATGGAGGGGAGGCCATGGCGGTAGACGAGTTCTTTTCGTGTTACAAGGCTTCGGGGTAGCAAGAGACGTAGGTCACTCTACAGGCGGTGATGGGGAGAGGGATTGGTGGCGGGGCTGCCGATATCGATCAAGGGGTGGCGGCCACGGTGGTTTTACGTGTCTACTAATGGGGGACTGGGGGTGCGCACCATCTGGAAGGTGCCCACTAGGTCGATGGAGTCGAGACTGGGGACAGTGGCGGAAGAGAGGGTGAAGAGAGTGAAGGAGTGGAGGGAGAGAGAGAATGCTAAATGGGACGAGCTTGTTCAGCCGTCTGCGCTGTTTGAGGCAGGGTTGGGACCGCAGCCGAGGGGAGAGGATCTCGACCGAGCAGAGTTGGAGGCGAGAAGAGAAGTTCAGGAGGCAGAGGATCAGGCTATACTTGCCAAGGCCACGAAGTTGAAGGAGGTGCGAGGAGACCGACCGCCTCAACCGATCGCGCGGGAGAGGATCCGACCGCTCCCAAGGCCGCTCGGGGGGAAGGACTTAACAGTTTTGAGCCACGACCGCCCCCGGTAGATCTTGTAAAAGAACAGGCCAGAAGGGAGGGGGAGGCTCTGAAGAAAGGGGATTGGTGGCGGGGCTGCCGACATCAATCAAGGGGTGGTGGCCACGGTGGTTCTACGTGTCTGCTAATGGGGGACTGGGGGTGCGCACCATCTGGAAGGTGCCCACTAGGTCGATGGAGTCGAGACTGGGGGCAGTGGCGGAAGAGAGGGTGAAGAGAGTGAAGGAGTGGAGAGAGAGAGAGAAAGCCAAATGGGACGAGCTTGTTCAACCGTCCGCATTGTTTGAGGCAGGGCTGGGACCGCAGCTGAGGGGTGGGGACCTCGACCGAGCAGAATTGGAGGCGAGAAGAGAAGCTCAGGAGATAGAGGACAAGGCCGTACTGGCCAAGGTCACGAAGTTGAAGGAAGTGCGAGGAGACCGACCGCCTCAACCGATCGCGCGGGAGAAGATCCGACCTCGCCCAAGGCCGTTGGGGGGGAAAGACTTAAGCAGTTTTGAGCCACGACCGCCCCCAGTAGATCTTGTAAAAGAACAGGCCAGAAGGGAGGGGGAGGCTCTGAAGAAAAAGAAGAAGAAAAAGATGAGTGCCCCAGAGGAACCTGCAGATGAGTCTGGGGCCAAGAGGGCTAAGGTGGCCCCAGCTGAGGTGGGGGTCCCTGTGGCCAAGGATACCCCAGAGGTGGTAGGGGTCACCCCAACTCTGGAGGTTGTGGAGACTGCCCCAACAGAGCAAGTAGGAGTTGGGTTGACCGAGGGTGTGCCGAGCGGGAGGGAGCAAACCCAAAAGGGGCCTGCCCCCAAGGAAGGAGGGGTCCATCTGGCCACGGCAATCTATCACGCCCGCGCGGTAGCTGGAAGGTTGGAGGGAGAAGGAGGCCCAGCCAGGGCGGGGGCAGACCGCTTGGTGAAGATTGTGGAGGAGACAGCTCTGCGCTCGGCATCAGGATATAATGAGGCTGACCTGCTGAGGGGGTTATGCTCCGCCCAAATGGAGGTAACTACCTTGGCAGGGGCCCTTCTAAGGAAGGCAGGGGCTACCAAGTTAAAGGCTGAAGAGGCCAAGGCCCAGTTGGCCAAGTTAAAGAAGGAGAGCGCCGACTGGAAGACTGCCCATGCTGAAC